AAAAAAAAAAAAAAAAAAAAAAAAAAAAAAAAGTCTGCCCATATGAGTTGAGCAACCTCATGAAGATATCCTTTCTGAGCTTGTTTTCCCAGCTCTAAAATACAATACAAACTATCCCGCGGCGTGTATTAGGGCCCAATGAAATTACTCTGATAGGGCTATTATTGCCTTTCTTCTTATAGCCATTCTTATTTTTGACTTTGGAGGTATCAAATATTCAGCCCATGCCAGAGTGAGGATCTCCTTTTCACCTTCTGTCTAAATTGTGCCTTGAATCTCTTTCGCGCTGGGTGCGAACTGCGTGAGACTCTTTTTGTAAAACTCAAACCCTGGCAACCCCACAACACCTGACCTCGAGCTGGTTTCCATAGCCTGAATCCTTCCTCTCTAATTTGCAAACAACTTTCTTAGTAAATGATTACAGAGCAGAATGCAATCCCTTCTATAAGAGATATGACTCAGAACAAATTGTAGCCGCGTTTTTTCTGCTCATTTTTCTCCTGCGTGGTGCGTGCTGCATCATCTTAAAGATCTCTTTGTTTGACAGTCAAGTGCATTAGTGTAGACAAGTGTGATATTTCTTCTCTTGTAATAATTATTTCCTCTTATAATTTCTGAGTTGTATCATAGCTTCTAACATCGTCCCCCAGCCCTTAAACATAAAGATTTCCCCTGGACGCCACTAGCAATGTTCCATGCAAAATGAATGACATCAGCAGAATAGAATAAACTTGTAGAAAGATCTTCTAGGAAGAAAGCAAATAAGAAGATCATAGGAAAAGCTTATAGAAAGATCAGCTAAGGGCTGAGACGGGCGGATCACAAGGTCAGGAGATCAAGACCATCCTAGCCAACATGGCGAAACCCGTCTCTCTTAAAAATACAAAAATTTAGCTGGTCGTGGTCGCGCGCCTGTAGTCCCAGCTACTCAGGAGGCTGAGGGAGGAGAATCGCTGGAACCTGGGAGGCGGAGGTTGCAGTGAGCAGAGATCACGCCACTGCATTCCAGCCTGGCAACGGAGCGAGACTCCTTCTCAAAAAAAAAAAAAAAAGAAAAAAGAAAAGAAAATCATCTAAGCAGGAAGAACTTTGCTTTGCAAGAAAAATACCTACTTATTCATTTAACAACAGTTCCAAACAAAAGCAGTGTGTTCATCAAAGGTTCAGGCAGCTTGTATCATCTCTAATTATAATATAATTTTTAATGGTGGCAACCTGATGATTACATTCACAATGTTTGTTTATCAAAAGGTCTGAGGGGCCACCAAGAAACTCTTTCAGCAGTGCTCTGTACACTAATGAAGTTGCAAAGCTCTCAAATGCAGAGAGGACATAAAAGTCGTGGCAATAAAAGAGCTTAAATTCCCCAAGCCCGAAGTGCTTGCCTACTCCATCACCGGCCATCAATAGGTACTTTGCTCTGAGGACATCAGGTGGTGTTAGCAACCTGTGGATTTGATGGAGGGGAGCCCAGAAGCCAGGAAGTCACTGATGGGCCAGGGCTAGAGTCACAGGTGATGGTGAGACCCAGGCTACTCAAAGTATGGTCCCCAGACCAGGTGCCTGGCGTCACCTGGGAGCTTGTGAGAGGTGCAGAATGAGGCCACCCAGACCTGTAGTATCAGAAACTGCTAAGGGTACGGCGGCTCACATCTGTAATCCCAGCACTTTGGGAGGCCAGGGTGGGCAGATCACTTGAGGTCAGGAGTTCGAGACCAGCCTGGCCAACATGGTGAAACCCCATCTCTACTAAAAATACAAAAAGCAGCCAGGTGTGGTGGCACACACTTGTAGTTCTAGCTACTTAGGAGGCTGAAACAGGAGAATCGCTTGAACCCGAGAGGCAGAGGTTTCAGTGAGCCAAGATGGCACCACTGTACTCCAGACTTGGTGCCAGAGTAAGACTCCATCTCAAAAAAAAAAAACAAAACTGCCAATGCACAGGTGACCCATGTGCTCATTAATGTTTGAGAAGCAGAGGTTTAGGAAACAGCTTTGGGAGAAATCAAACCAAGAGAGGGGTAGGAATTGCAAGAGGTGGCCCTGGAATGTGAGGCTGTGACCAGCATGACCTTGTCTCAGCTCATAGTACCTGCAATTAAACCTTTTGTCCAGACAAGATCTTATTCTGAGGTTCCAAGTAGATATGAATTTGGGAGAGGACAGCATTTAACCCAGTGCAGAGGAGAAGACTTGCAAGAACCACAGACAGGGCATTGGGACTCCTGAGTTCAGCTCCTGGCTGGGGCTACTCCAGAAGGTTCTGTTTCCATGTGCATTTAAAAAAAAAATGGTCATTGAAATCCTTTTTTCTGAGACAGAGTCTTGCTTTGTCACCCAGGCTAGAGTGCAGTGGCATGATCTCGGCTCACTGCAATTTCTACCTCCCGGGTTCGAGCGATTCTCCTGCCTCAGCCTCCAGAGTAGCTGAAATTACAGGTGTGTTCCGTGTCTGGCTAATTTTTGTGTATTTAATAGAGACAATGTTTCACCATGTTGGTCAGGCTAGTCTCGAACTCCTGACCTTGTGATCCACCCACCTCAGCCCCCCAAAGTGCTGGGATTACAGGCATGAGCCACCGTGCCTGGCCGGTCATTGAAATCTTTTACATGCTAAAGTGGCAGAGAACACACTGAGGACAGATGAAAAGGCAGCTGATGAGAAGGGACTGAAATTCCACTCTCCTTGAGCATGCAGACTTCTCTGACCTGGTCCCTGGGAGAGGCCCCAAGCCTCTCCACTCCCCTTTCCTTGTATTTAAAACCGAGCTAATAACTTGGAACTCCCTCGAAGGAATAGTGGAAAGAACTGGTGTTTAAAATAAAATGATTCTCAACAGTGTTGCAAATGCGAGTTGCCTCAGGAATACTAACTAGGAGGAAAACTATCAAGGTTCCTCGATTCTAAATCTGGCAAGAGAAAGAGACGGGTGTGTGGGGAGAGAATGAGCTATTTTTAATTCCTGGCCAAGAAAAGAGTTTTTATAAATCCACACTAATATTATGAGCTCAGCCTGTTCGAACAATGAATTCTGTTTCCATAATTGTCTTGTCCACGGTAACCACCATAGAAAGAACAAGAATCATGGTGATTCCTAATGTAAATCTGCCTGGCTTCTCGGTGGCAGAGGAGGTTGGGCTGCTTTCAGAGCTCCGGGAGAGCCCCGAGGGAGGGGGGACAGTGGCCTCTGCTGGGGTCAAGCCATATGATTCGTAATTAATATTTAACACTGGTTTTAAAAACAAGTGACATGCCCCTTAATCCGTGCACATTATCTAAGGTCAGGAACAGAAGAAATGCATTTATTGATTGATTTGCTTTCTCCGCGCCCCACCCCCGCCCCGCCCATGCCTCTGTGTATATGTTAATATTGCCTACAATGTCCAGATTTTTTTTTAAAAGGTCTAGATGCAACTGCAAACACAGCCAGTTCTCTGCTTTCCCTCTGTGCCACAGCCGAGGAAAGCGTGTTGGCAGGAAATTCACTTGTTCAAGGAGCTGGCTTCAGCCCCCTTCTGCCACCAGACCCACTCCAGAACAGATTCCCTATTCACGGGAGAAGAGGACCATAGAAATTCAGTATGTAGTTTCACATGGGTTATTTTATTTTTTTTTAGAAATGTTCAAAACACAAAAAGTGCAGAGAATAACAGAACACGTTCCCAGGTTCGCACCACCCAAAACTGACAAATGCCAACATTTTCTGTCTTTGGGTTTTTGTTTTTGTTTTTGAAACAGGGTCTCATTCTGTCACTCAGGCTGGAGTGCAGCGGTGCGATCACAGCTCATGGCAACATGGGTCTCCTGGGCTCAAGCAAGCCTCCCAAGTAGCTGGGACTACAGGTGCACACCACCATGCCCGGCTGAGTTTCTGTTTTGGTGGGTTTTTTTTTTTTCCTTTGTAGAGATAGGATCTTCTTTGTTGCTCAGGCTGGTCTTAAACTCCAGGGCTCAAGTGGTCCTCCTGCCTCAGCCTCCCAAAGTGCTGAGATTACAGGCAGGAGCCTGTAATTCATATATTTCATATATTTATATTTACAAAAATATAAAGTGGGCCAGACTCGGTGGCTCACACCCAACACTTTGGGAGGCCGAGGCAGGTGGATCACGAGGTCAAGAGATCGAGACCATCCTGGCCAATATGGTGAAATCCCATCTCTACTAAAAATACAAAAATTAGGTGGGCGTGGTGGTGCGTGCCTGTAATCCCAGCTACTTGGGAGGCTGACGCAGGAGAATCGCTGGAACTGAAGAGGTGGAGGTTGCAATGAGCTGAGATTGCACCACTGCACTCCAGCCTGGCAACACGCCGAGACTCCATCTCAAAATAAAATAAATAGAAAATAAATGAATAATATATATATATAGTGAACAAAACATCACAGATCAAGTGAAGTCCCTTTCAGCCCCACATGCAAGGTCAGCCCCTCTCCCCTCTCTTGAGTCAGGGATGTGTCTCTACCCTCTTATAGGTGTACCCATGAACAATCTATAATATTGTTATAATATAGTTTGGGCTGCTTTGAGGTTCCTAGAAC